CTGTCTCATCCGTTAGAGCATCAGAAGGTTGAGCTTTTCAAAACTACTGCTTACGGCTTAGGGGTTTAGGGTTTAGGAACAGCGTGCTAAACAAATGATGCTTGCATATAACTACCCAGGGACCCATTTTGAGGGGACCGCCCGGCCAACTTAAGCGGGGATCTGGCGTACCTTTTTGGGGGCCCAAATGCGCCCAAAATGCGCCCAAAATGCGCTCTTCGCTACGGGCCCCGGCCCCGGTCAACTTAAGCAAGGCTGTGCGTACCTACTCAACAGTAGAAGGGCGCCTGGGAGCCTTTATCAGGCCAATCCCGAAACCCAGGGGTGAGCGGGGATACGCGTACCTATCTTTATATAAAATACAATACAAAGACTCCGCCCCAAACCGAGCCTGAGCGGGGATACGCGTACCTCGCGTCGGAAAAACGATTTTGGTCGGACCCAAAAGCTACGAAAATGGCACCCAAAACGGTCAACTTAAGCAAGGCTCTGACGTACCTCGCCTCTTGCTTAAAACGCCTCAGAAATATGCTGTTGCTTGCCAAAAAAAGGCCCGCCTGCGGCGGGCACACCCAAACTTTGTCCGTCGTGTGGTTGTACACCGTGATGTTCAGCCAATCGTCACTTCCCACGTGCACTGCATCTGCCACCACGCACAAAAAATGTCCGTCGACCGGGAATCTGACTTGCCCTGCGTGACATAGGCGTATCGCTCCATGCGTGCTAGCCTGTGTGCGTCCATAGAAGCATGCTTCTTGATCTTTTGCTCGTCCTCCGTGGGGGTCTCCTCCAGGGTGCATACGTGTCCATGCATCGTGCAGATGAGTGCCCTGCGTGTAGAATGACATGAACTCGCCATTTCCTCTCGGAAGCCCATGGACGATCGACGACACCCGGCGGCACCCCTTCAACAGCACGGGAACGTTGATTAGTTACTAAACTCAAACCTTAAACCCCTAAAGCCCAAACCTCAAAGCTACACCTTAAGCCCGAATGCTTCCTCAGCTTCACACTGTGCTTGACATTAAGCGTGTCCAGTAGGAATGGGTGTTGTCCGACGAGTCTTCGCACCTGACAAAGCCTCCATCAGGCAGCGCTGCATCTTGGAGCTGGATTCTTTGCGATTCTCGCTCAGTGTCCGGCTTGTGCAATTTTAAGAATCATCCTGTGGGTCCATCGCTGTGTCACCTCCGTCACGTCCAGGGAACCTGCTTGGAATGGAAGCACTATGTCCACGGCCGTGTAGTCCTCCTCCGCAATGACGACGAAACCATCGTCGACGATCCCAGGCAGTTCTAGCGAATCAACCGGTCGCGCAGTGTCCGGCGTGTCTTCCTGCTCGAAGTGCCCCGGGAATGCTGCATCGACCGGCGCAAGGTGATCCTCGTCTCCGCATCTTCAAACTCCTCGTCGTCCTGCATTTGGTCCTGCTGCTGTCCTTCGTCCGACTCAACCTCGGCCCAAAGTCCAACGTTCGCCATCTCCTCCCTCACCGTCTCCGAGTCGGTGTCGGCCTGGTTGTCATCTGGATCCGGCGCCTTCATGTCCGCCTCATGCGCCCTGTCGCACTCCTGCTTGTCCGCCTCCAGCAAACCGGACTGGACGGTCACCACATGCCACGGGAGTTCCCTGCTACACCAGCCCTTGAAGACGTACTTCGCCATCTCGATGTACTCCGGCAGTTTATCCGACGGGCCGAGGTCCGGCGGCGACAAAACAATGGTACCACTTCATGTCCCACATATTGGGGCGGTTGAATGTCGGGAGAAAGATGGCGTTCCCCGTCGCGAGGGCGGACAGTCCGGCGGCGCTGCGTTTGCCCCGCTTGGCTCAGCAGATTTTTAAAGATGAACCACCAGTCAGTCAGGGCGAATGGAGCATATGCAACACAGCTGCAGTACGTAGAGGTTAATGATCAGCCGCATGTTGACGAAATTGAACTACAACACAAACGACAGAACGGCGAGGACAAGGAGCAGCGTGTTCCGCATTGGATAATGATTTTGATTGACAAGGGCTGGAGAACCTTGTAGCTGACCGTCCGGGAACCTTTAGCAACAATCAATAACATGAGTTACGTCCAAGGCCACTTATCTACTCTGCGCTGCATCGGTGCAACGACACTGGATTGCAATTGTGGTACCTCGTGGGCAAGTGGTGTTTTTCTCCATGTCCGTCAGGCCCAGCCCTCGAAAGTCGATGTCCCAACACATGTATGTCTTCTCGTCGATATTTTTGTGAGGTGCCTGGCCGACGACGCCATTGCTGCCCAACGTGTGAGAATTCGTGCTGGCCGGGCCTGCGTAGAAACACACATCGTGCAGTCAGAAGTGCACACATCGTGTAACTGTACTATCTGATATATCAGACAAGAAACAGGAGTACGGCTTCGGGCACTGCTTGTCGGAGCCGACAGGCAAAACCTCGCGTCCGTCGAGACGCGAACGTCCCCCGAGTCCCGCGAGTAGCTCCCCATGTTGCCCGTCGGGCAAGGCTGCAAAGTCGAATTGGGAGCGAAGGGAGTTGGCCTCGCATCGGAAAAAGCCATGGCTGCGAAAAATGTACTAAGGAACGGCGAGGATAATGTGTAAGAGACCTGTGGGGAACTAAGTAGTGTATACATTTCCCTAGGACCCTAGGAACTCGACAGGGACCCTACATGTTCTGAATGACATCTTGATGCGCATGCTATACGTGTTAAGGTCCAGTATATATGCTGTGTGAATGAAAGACGTCTGTCCGAGTGACAGTGCCCCTGCAAGTCGTCTGCAGTGTTGCTGTGACTGAGGGTAACAGAAGCTGTGCTCATGCTCTAGAACTAGGTTCTGAGTCTGGTCCAACATGTGGCAATCGAAGAACCGATGCTCCTCAAACAGCTTCAACCATGCTCGCATGCACACGCGTCACATCAGCAACAATCATGTCCTGAGCACAGCAAGTTGGAGGGCGGAAGGCACCTAGTCCAGCGAAGAGCGTGGCATCGGCGATGCAGAGAATGTCCACCGTTGCAGAACGACGGGGGATGCACAACGGGTAAGTCTCATCGGGTTGAACTACGGGTGGCCTCTCAAAACAGCTGAAGAAATACACCCAAGGCAACATCTGGTAGTCAAATTCTGTGCTTATTTTCGGCCTGTTATCCAATCCACAAATTCATACTACTATTTTCCACACAGATCCATTAACATCAAACCGCTGTCCAAGCGGGTGTTTGCTTAATGTGCTTGCTTTTTAGTGTAGCTTAGAAGCTTCAGACTTGAATACGCACAAACACCACCGACAAGTAAACCACACTCAACTGTCATGATCTCAAAGGCGGGGGTTTAAACTCACGAATGTGCAATTTTTGATGATCATGTAAAACGGCCCAAAACATACGCCCTATCCCGGCCATACGCGTATCCCTGCTTAAGTTGCTCTCTGACTACGTCGTATATCAGAGGGGGGATCCACCTCTCGGAAGCTCCCATTTCAACGCAAGTGTGAAACAGTCTGGCAGAGGAACTCCGGCCATCGGACAAGCCGAAGGTCAGGGGTGGTTAGGGGTTTAGGGGTTCAGGGTTTTAGGGTTTGGGGTTTAGGACACGTCGAAGTTTATAAGGCTGTTTCTTGCAGGCATCGGGTTTGGGGTTTAGGCCCTTTGGAGGAATCTTCCGCCGAAAGGGCTCAGATGTGTTCATCTCCGCCAGTTCTGGTGGCCGCCTCTGACATCACCACGGCTTCGGATTCGGGGAGAAGGGTTCAAGGTCTCTGGTTTCTAGGACGGAGCGTCTGGGACCTCGGGTTCAAAGCCTCGGGTTTAGGACATTGTGTGGTTGTCAAAATTAGGGTCCCTTTTTGGGTACCCTAAATAATAGGTGCCGTATTAGAAATAGCGACCCAAAAAGGGACCCTAATTTTGACAACCACCCATATTGGTGTAGGATTTTGGTTTCAGCTCGGGGTTTGGTAAGCATGATAATATCTGCGCACGCTTCGCAACACACTTGCTGGAGCTTACCGCGATATCAAAGGGAGCAGTCGTATGCAATATGCCGAAATGACTGGAATAGGCTTTTGAGGCGTACCCTAGTAATTGCCCCAATATACTTCAAGGTATAGTCGTTAATTTAGGAATAGACCCTACGCTATACTACGGTTCCTACTGTAGTTTAAAGCGTATTCCTTAATTGAGGGGCGTTTGGGTCTCTGGGGACCTCTCCCACAACGGCATAGAAGAGTTCTTTAGATGCCTTATACTATAGTTCGAATAAGGAACCGCAAGAACAACACTAGTGATTGCTCAAGTTTCTAGTTTGTTCAATCTAGATTCCCTACAGGGAACTCCAGAAAGTTGGAATATGGTTTCAGGGTAGGATACCTTATAATTTACTATAAAGGGCTTAGGATAATCATATTCCAACTTTCTGGCTTTTACTTTAGTAGCCCCTGGATAATGACGGCCTGGGAGACTCAGTAAATAGGCCAGGCTTTTCTGGGCGTTCCGAACATAACTCGACCAGGGAATCCTGGAATCTACGCTTCATTGTGAGGTGTGGGGGCGTGGGACTTGCAGTTTGTGTACGGCTCGGGACTTCGGGTTCAAGGCTTAGGGTTTGAAGCTGGGGGTTTAGGGCTGAGGGTTTTGGGGATTTCGGGTCTGGGATGTTTCGGGTCTGGGATGCGTAGTTACAAACTTCGGCTTCGGGATTTGCATCGAAATGGCAGCATACCCCAGGCACCGTAGTCTAGTCAGGAGTCGCGCGTAGGTACTCTAGAACCTATCCCCTCCGGAGGAGTATTCTAGACATTGGGACCACGGTCTTTGGACTTCATTGCTCATACTTGGAGGATCATGGGACTTAGTAAGTATGGTTATAAGTACCTTAACTGGGGCTATAAGTAATTATGTGTGTAGTTACCTTACTAATAACCCTAGTTACGATCCTTTAAGTAGTGCCCATGGCCCCGCAGTGCGTCCACGGAGCATTTGGGTCTTCGCACCGGCGTTCATTTACCAGCTACCAGCGCATCATGTTGTCCTTGGAGACAGAGTGTCACAGAGTCATACTTGGAGGGGCAGGGGACTTAGTAAGAAGGGTTATGAGTAGGGTTATGATTGGGGTAAGTCCATTTAGGGTACTTATAACTCTACTTGTAGCCATGCTTACTAAGTCCCCTGCCCCTCCACGTAGACCCTAAACCCGAAACCCCATAGATCCCTTTAAGGAACCCTATAGATCCCTTTAATGAGCCCTTTTTGAGCCCTTACTAAGTCCCCTGCCCCTCCAAGTAGACCCTAAACCCGAAACCCCATAGATCCCTTCAGGAAACCCTATAGATCCCTTTAATGAGCCCTTTTTGAGCCCTTACTAAGTCCCCTGCCCCTCCAAGTAGACCCTAAACCCGAAACCCCATAGATCCCTTTAAAGAACCCTATAGATCCCTTTAAGGAGCCCTTTTTGAGCCCTCACTAAGTCCCAAAAGCCCCTCCAAGTAGACCCTAAACCCGAAACCCCATAGATCCCTTTAAGGAGCCCTTTAAGAGCCCTCACTAAGTCCCCTGCCCCTCCAGTCAACCCGGGCACCCCTACAATCGACATCAGAGAGGCTGAGACCCGATACCCTGATGGTAGAAGCCAGAAAGCTGGAACGTTACGGCTGATGATGTAAATTTTCTAGGGGTCCTTTAAAGGGATCTATAGGGGTACCTTTAAGGGCTTCCTTTTAATTGTAGTATCCTCATGCCCTTAACGTAAAGGATAAGGGATCCTAGCACTAATCCTCTTAAACTCATGTTCCTTCTTTCTGGCGTCTACTGTAACGTACAGCTCCTGACCGCTCCCCAACAAAGCCCTCAACATTAAATCCAAGCCCGGAAGCCCTGACTAACAATAAAACCTAAATTCCAAAGCACCTAATTCCTAAACCCCATAATTACCTTAAGCCCAAAACTTAAAAATCATCGCAAACATTTCAACTCCAAACCCAAATCGTCCCGAGATCCCGGAAGTATCAAAACAAGACAGAAACCTACTTGTCGGGTATCATAGAGAACAAAAGGCTAACCTCTTCGGGTATTTAGGGATTCTACAGGGACTATACTCCCCAAACAAGGTTAAAGGTTACCTACTCTACTACTAGGGAAAGCCCCGGAAGACGAAAAGCCCGGCAAGGTTGCTCTAATTGGAGGATCATGGGACTTAGCAACTAAGGTGATTATTAAGGTAACTATACTTATAATTGCGTATAACCCTAATTCCGGTAGTTGTAACCCTAATTACTAAGATTACTATGTCCGATGATCCTTTAAGTGAGGGACTCCCCCAAAGTTAAAGGTTTGCTTTTAAGGGTTGCTTTACGGGGCTACTTTAAGGGTTGCTCTAAGGGCTCCTTTCAGGGTTGCTTGCACGGGTTGCTTGAAGGGTTCCTACTTAAAGGATCATTGGACTTGGTAATTACGGTTATAAGTACCTTAATGAGGGTTATAGGTAATCATAAGTAAGGTTACCTTAATCATAACCTTAGTTACTAAGTCCCATGATCCTCCAAGTAGCTTTAGGGTTAAGGCGGCCTAACCCGCAGAATGGTAGGAGTAGTATACCTCTTGTGGGGGAGGATTCTGCGTTTCAGATCCTTTCGGCGGACTGGGTCTGGGGCAGCGACATATCTAAATTCTAACCAGTACGGCCCTAAACTATCACAGCTTCCGTATGTAAACCCCATTAAGCCCCTATGTAAAGGACACCCTCATGGGCACCCTATTCTAATCATGGATGTGCTCATGCAACGCCATTCTACCAAAATCGTGAAGGGGTGAAATGCGGCTCCGAACATGAATTCTTACGTCGCCAGTACCTACTATGTTGTAGGTTTGGGGGGTGTTGCATGTTTAGGGTTTAGGGTTTAGGGTAGGGGTTGAGGATGACCTCTTAGAAACATATTGATCTTGTTAGGGTTTTGGGATTGGGGTAAGCGTAGGGTTACTAGAAGGGATACTGCAAAGCTTCTGGGTTTTAGGACTCAGAACGAACAAACCAAGCTCACTCTAGAGGCACAGAAGCCGACAGGGATCTGTTGGCAAACCCTGGTTTCAGCATGGGAACCCCCGCGACAGACAAGCATGGACAATACTGGACTCCTCTCAGCGGGTAGGGCAAACTTGTCTTGGAGATCCCTTGACAAGACGCAGAACACCAACAAAGATCAATAAATCCACAACGTGCCCAACAGGGTGGTTGTCAAAATTGGGGTCCCTTTTTAGCTCATTATTATAATACGGCAACTATTATTTAGGGTACCCAAAAAGGGACCCTTATTTTGACAACCGCCCATAACAACCATCAGCATCCATCCCAAGCAGGGTCAATGGAGTCAAGACCCTCGGAGATCCCCTCGAAAAGCGGCCTCAATATGTAGACTAGGCCCCTTCGAAGGGTTACTTGCTGTGTCCAATTATTACTACCATTGTTACTGTTACCAATATAGTAAAAGCCAGAAAATTGGAATATCATTATCGTAACCCCTTTAAGGTAAATTATAGGGGATCCTACCATTAATCCATATTCCAACTTTCTGGAGTTCCCTTTATTACCATTGCTTTTCAAGTTACAATAAACCCAAAGAATCCCTGAACTT